AGAATCAAAATCAGAGTTAGTATTGTCAGAACCATCTCATGAAAGCTAACATACAAGCTTTTATGACCTACTAGCTATCAAGACCTGAACTATGGCTTCAGTCTAACAACAAGGGATCATGTTCTTTCTCCTTTGCCTGCCTAGACGGTGATCCTAAAGAAGCACGTAAATAAGAACTCGGTGGTCTACATGGAGCCCTCCAAGGAGAACAAATTCCAGAACGTAAAGAACGACTGCGGCATCATCCACTTCTCCCCAGAAATGAGCTCCTCCTGTGCGGACAAGATGACCATCCCCAGGGCCAAGCTGAGCATGGGCAACGACTGGACGCCGCGCTAAAACAAACACACACACACACAACAAAAAAACACAGCGAAAACTCTGCAGATCAGAGCTGTCCGGCACCTCCCACTCTCTCTCACTGTTGTCTCCATTCCATGGTGATTAGTGCAAGCAGTGCACACACACACCTTGGGTGCCGCCTTGGTCCCACCCTTCTGTCTGTGTGAAACCGAGGATGCTCTGCAAGAGACAAAGCAACTGACCTCTGTTTCTTTTAATCTGTGTCCATATTCTTCTGTGTTTGGATCTTTGTGGTGAGGTGAGACGCTGGGAGGTGGATGGACGGGTGGACGCATAAAGGACACAGCCACTCCGGGCTCTGCTTTAAAACAGAGAGGGAGGCAGCCAGAGGAGCTCCTCTGTCAGAATCAGACTTTGACTGTGAACATTGTAATATTAATGCTTATTGTTGCCTCCTTTTGAAACTGGAACTTTGAGGCAATAAGAGGAGCATAAAAAAGCTTTAGGGCAGGGGATGGGCTGTAGTTACAAGGGGGTGTAAAGGATGCTGCTCCCCCTGAGGTCAGCAGTGCTTCATGGATGTAATCTTTTTTTTGCAGCAGGGAGGCCAAAGGAACTGATAATCCAGTTGGATCAGCAGCCAAATCATTGTAAGTCAACAGGCTTTATATCACCCCCAGATCCAACCCCCTGCTTTAGAATGTGTGGTTTCCATCTTAGTTTTTGTATATTTCTACAGTATTTGTACTAGTCGTAGTGTTGTTCTTGGCCACCTCTCGTTTTTATCATGGGTGTCTCCATGGAGCCAGATTAAAACATTTTGAAAATGCCGGTCTAAACATTCCCGTGATCAAGTTCAAGAAGGACACACTCCCCGAATAATTTCTACCTTCAAACGACCCGAGGCATTCCATTCAGAAAAACTCTGACAGCAAACCACAATTCTACAAAGTGAAATATGTGAACTCCCCCTCTGAACTCATTGGCAATACAGTAGCCAATGGTCTTTAACTTTCCCCTGAGTCTCAGCCGACCAGAAAGAATCAGTCGTACTTCATCATCACACAAATTGCAAGGTTGAAGCGATGTTCATCCAGGAACAACGTCATTTTTACTGACTGCAGAGTGGTGCCAGAAGCTTCATCTGGACCTATGAGGAATGTCTCCGATATCATGACTCACTCCTAACTTCATTCACAGCTGTGTGCGTGTGGAGCTACTGTTCACACTGAATGCTGGTGATAGCATTGATTCATTTAAAAGCCTTAATTCTACAGCCTTAATGCATATCTTGTTTTCCTTTAATAACTGTGTTAGCCAATATAAAGCAATCTAAAAACAGTTACACGCCGATCAGCCACAACATGAAACAACTTTGATCATCTCGTTAACAATGCAGTGTTCTGCTGGGAAACCCTGGGTCCACCTTACACACACCACCCACCTTAAACACCTTTACAGACTAAGTGCCCCCCCCCCAACCCTTCCAATGCATCATGCCACTCTCAAGACATGATCTGGCCTCCGAATTCCCCACATCCCAATTCCGATCGATTATCCGTGGGATGTACCCCACTTTGCAACTCATAGGACTCAGAGGATCCACCACCACTGCCCTGGTGCCAGACATCTCAGGACACCCCCAGAGGTCCTGTGTCCATCCCTCAACAGGTCAGAGGTCCCATCGTGGATCGGACTTGGTTCTTACCTGTCAAGGCACGAATGCAGGACCTCAGGGGTACCAGCATATCCCATGGATGCTTGATTGAATTGGGATCTGGGGAATTGGGAGGCCAGGGGATGCCTTGAGCTCTTTGGGGGGGCCATTTGAGAGTGCCGTTGCCTTGAGGAGGGGGTGTACTTGGTCTCTAACGGACTGTTAATGTGCCACATGAATGCCAGGACCCAAGGTTTCCCGGTATTGTAACTAGAAGATCGATGTTCTTCACTTCACCTGTCATTGGTTTAAATGTTGTGGCCGATTGCTCTATATTCCCCCAGTATTGAGACGAACAAATTGTGTTGTAAAGACAGTTTTCAGCGTTTCATATTCGAATGATTAATGTGTCGTGGAAGAGTCTAAGTGGAGCTCGCTAGAACCTGTACATAATGGTACACATTACAACGTCTGAGCATGTTAGAGACGTAGCACTTTTCTTTGGAGCCAGTGTATTTTTATTTTTTTTTTAAAGAAAGCTCCCTGCAGGATTCTTGTAGGGATAAAGTCCCTAATCAGGGATTTGATATAGGCATATTAAGCCCACAGAGATGTTAAACCACTCAAGTGAACACGCTGTTGCAGCTAGAGGCTCTGTACCAATCTGATCAGTACGGGGGGAAGGGTAGACTCTGAGAAGCATTACGAAACAAACTGGGGTTTCATAGGAAAAGGTTTTGGATCAGAGTTCTCAATCCATTGCCAATTCTCTCAACACAAAGACCTTTCTGATGCCAAAATTGGTTGGAGACCAATTTATATTGAAGTGTTTTAGTAACTCAGTAGATTTGTGTCTGTTTGAATCATGACCATGTGCTTTAAAATGAAGAGGCGACTGTAAAAGCTTACGCAATTCTTTGTTCTTCTATGTGTAAAAAAAAAAAAAAAAAAAAGTAGTTTAAATTAGTAGGACAGAAGAGTACCTTATTTATTTTTTCACATAGCTTTATTTATTATTACTAAACTATAGTTTGAGATTTTTTTTTTTTTTTTTTTGAAAAATGAACTCTTGGTAGCCAAAGCTGCTGTACATTGTAGACTATTTACCATTTCTATCTGCTATATTCTATACAACCTTATTTATTTTACTGTTGCAAAACCTGTAAATATGTTTCCTAGATGATGAACTGTAACATTTACACTTATTTTGAAAATAAATGTGTGAACCAAGGTGGCCCTGCATGGATGATACTTTAAACTGGGTGGGAGGAACAATTCCCCAGAGTGCAGTGATGTCATTCAAGATGGTATCTGTTAGTGGTTTTTAACTTCACTCGCAGATTTGCAGGCTCATGCACATCTGGTTTTGGAGTTGTGCTCCAAATGGGACTTTGTCTCCTCGTAGTTGCTTTAAATCTGATCGTTTCCCCTTGTTCTCTTATCTCAGTAGCACTTGCAGATGTGTTTAGTGGTAGAAGCCGTTTCTGAGGGGGTCCTCTGAGATTTGAGAGCTAGCGGAGAGTAAGAAGACCTCTCATCTATCCAGTGGGCTATTAAAAGCCTGAAAAATGTCATGCAGGTCAGACCTGGAAACCTGGATTATCTTCAGTGCAGATCGTGCTGTTGTTCTGACTTGTCCGTCAAAGCTCGCTCATAAACTTCAAGGTGAGGAAGCCTCTCCGGAAGATCAATGAAGTAAATATTAGGGTCAGTTTCCCAGGCTGCAAATGTGTCAAATACTTAAAAAAAGCCTTCAGATTATCAAAAGTAGTGATATTTGACTTGAGATATTTTCACAACTTCCGGAACATTCCCAACCTGTCTCAATTGATGGTACGGTGGTGCAGTGGTTAGCATTGTCGCTTCACAAGAAGCACAAGAAGGTTCCCAGTTTGAATCCAGGGTGGGGGGTTCGAATCCCAGGATGGAGTAGCCCTTCTGTGTGGACTTGGCATGTTCTCCGTGTCATCATGGGTTTTTTCCCTGTACTCCAGCTTCCTCCCACAGTCCAGAGACATGTAGGTTAATTGGTGACTCTAAATTGGCCGTAGGTGTAAATGTGAGTGTGAATGGTTGGTAGTCTGGTGACCTGTCCAGGGTGTACCCTGCCTCTCGCCCAATGTCAGCTGGGACAGGCTCCAGCCCCCCCGCAATCCCCAATAGGATAAGCAGTTCCAGAAAATGAATGAATGTCTCAATCGAGTGATAATTCAATAAGGGTTCCTGCAGCTCAAGGCAAGTTAGATTTAAGGCTTTAAAATGCCACTCAATGAAATTTAAGACCGATTTTACAATAACCAAAATTGAAGGGGAAAGAAAAAACATGAACTGACATCGGTTTCTTAGGTTCTGGGGTAATTTTGCCCAAATGGTTACTGTAACACACAGCATGATGGTTTTTGTCTCGTGGCGCAGAACAGAGCTTGTCAACACTTGGCATTTCTTGGCGATTTTGTGGTTCTCACTTTGCATGTGAGGTTCCACTGCCATGATTCCCATTGTGCTGAGTTTGTAAAGCTTTTTGCAAAAATTACACCAAGCCTTGTTTGCACTGCATTGCACTGCATCAATGAATCTGCACTTCCCCAGGGCAAAGTGACAGCTAGCTAGCGGACAGTGGATCCTCTGCTCTAACCATTCAGGCTGTAAACAAAATATGAGTGTTGCTGACTCCACTATTATGACCCGCATGACCTTAAACCAAGAGGTAAATTATCTTTTTAAAAATAAATGATACCAGTTACTTTGAGATTTGATACCCAATGTCAAACAAAACGATTCATACAACCCAATTTGCCATGTCATAGCATTTTTGAGACTTTTGAAAGACTGATTTAAGATGTTTCGCTAACAATTAAGGCCTTATTTTTAGATGAATAAATGAAATGCCTTCTAAGACTTTTTAAAGATCTGCAGGAACCCTGTGGATTTGTAAGTATCAGTTAAAATAAAGATAAGCATTAGCTTATGAGGTAACACTAAGCTTAAAATGGGTGACTTACATACACATGTAGAATTATAACAGACACAAATACACAGCTCCGGTTGGGAAAAGGTGATTTATTCCTCCTATTGATCCTGATGCTAAATAGAAATGTAAAATTGTTGCCTTCATGACACATAATCCTCAGTAAAAAGCCCTTTCTCTTCCAGCTTCTATTAAGGCAGTAAAGTCAAGTAAACCTCTCGTCCAGGTTCGTCTGAGAAAGACCACAAAACACTGAAAGGTTTTGTGACAGTTATTTTGGGTTAAACAGCTGAATTACCATTCAACATGGTAAATAAAAACGTGTGTCTTTGGGGCTCCGGTTTCCCAAAAAGAAACTTTATGAGTCTGTCATTCTTCAAGCTGATTCTGTAAGTCCAAGCATGAAAACAGTCCCTGGGAGTCCACTGAGTCTCGAGCTAAGGGGGACATCTCCCAGGTCTTTAGAGAAGGATCTTGTAGTAGTCGTCCTTGTAGCTGTACAAGACCACCACAGCCACCCTGCGAAAGGACACATCTGTCAGTTATGAGACGTGAAAGAATATTAAAAAACATAGTGGAGACCTTCCAAATGGGACATTTCAAAATCAGGATAATGCCATGAAATTCAGTCAGGAGGGTTTCCAAGAGCTTAGATTGCTCGAGATAAAGAGGTGAGTCTGGGTAAAATAACACAGGATTCAACCCTGCCAAGAGTCCGTGTCCAGAGTAACTAAGTCCCAAAAATAAGTGCAGAAATTAAAATCAGTTATTACCAAAAAAAAAAAAAAGTCGAAATTACTCCACTTAGTTTCAATAGTGCAATGTGGCTAACATCTGGAGAGGAGCAATATTGCTCCTCTCCAGATGTTAGCCACATTGCCGACATCTAATTCATCCGGAGGAGACATTAATGTTCCCCTCAGCGTGAACTGTAACAGTTTGATGAACCCATCACTTTTCACGTAGCGCCATCATCAGGTCAAAATTCAAACTTGTCCAATATGATTATATTATTGTGACCAAATACAAGCCAATACATTCCCATCAGCCTCAGCTGTACTGTGTTTAGAGCTAATTAGCAAATTAGCATGCTAACACGCTAAATTAAGATGAACACAGTAAACACCTGCTTTACATCAACAAGCTATCGTTGTCATTGTGAGCATGTTGAGTTCCGCAGAGCTGCAACAATTTAGGGTTAAGTTGTCAACTAATCTGATAATCGATTAATTAGTTTGAATCATTCTTTAAGGAAAAAAAATGTCAAAATATCTTTGGGTCATGGACAAAACAAGACATTTGGGGACGTCATTTTGGGCTTTGGTAAACACTGATCGAGATTTTTCACCATTTTATGGACCAAACAATGAATCGATTACTTGAGAAAATAATCGACAAATTAATCGGCAATGAAAATAAACAGTAGTTTATTGTAGCCGTGTGAAGCGCATTGGATATAAACGTCCTACATACAGGTCGTGCCAACAGCAGTGCTGGCTGAAAGGAAAGCTCAGTGATTGCGAAGCCCTTGGGATAAGTTTAGTTTGTGGTGTTGCTGCAGCCAGGTGACTGCACGAGACCTTTAGCCCACTCATCTGGCGTCGGTTGCCTGCGCCCCACGTTGGAAGAAAACAACTAAACAAACACATGCTGAATATATCCATTGTTGCCTCTGTGATGCTCATTTATCAGTAGAGACTTTTCCCCCCCCTAAATGGCAAATCAAACACACAGCAGAGACAGGAAATTAAAACCAACTGCTCTGGAGAGGCGGATGGGAAGCCAGAAAGAGAAGCTTTGATTTCTTTCTTTTTTTTCGTTGCCATCTCATTCATGAAAGAGTAAATCCTCTGAATCCCTCACAGGGTTGCTCTCTATGGGCATTCACAAGCGTCACAACACTAGAAGCTCAAACACTGAGGATTTAGCCTTGGCTTTGAAAAAAAAAACATTCTGCTGGGAAGCTTGGGAATATTAACCGCTCCATCCACAACCACAGCAATGGATGAAGTTAACCCGCCCCCTCCTCAAGCTGCAGTCTATGTCAATCAACTTGGGTGTTAAGAGACAGACATCAGAAGACCAAACAAGGCAAATCCTCCAGATTTCACCTCAGGAAATGGGATCAGCTGAGGATTTGATGTTCTGCAAAGCAGTAGTTATCCGTATTACAGCTCCCTTTGAAGGACTGACTGTCACTGTTACACCTGGAGTGTGTGGGCTTGGTCGGAGCTTTGGAGTGGCAGCTGCCCGTAAAAGGAAGTCTGCCTTTTTAAGTGGTCTTTAATGTATTCCTCTGTTTGCCTCGGGTTTCATTTTATTAAAAATAAGTCGGTAGTGGATGGAAACCTGTGGGGGTCAGCAGAAAGGGGAGACTGTGGGGTCTGTGGCTCATCTTCCAAAAGGACTCCTGCTGAGACGAGACGTCTGTGACTGTTTGCTCGGAAAATGTCTGTGCAGTGTAAAGTTCCTGCTGTTTCTTTTCTTTTAAGGGGGGGGGGGTTAAATGAAAACATTTTGACACTCAAGACAAGGCTGTGCATGTACAAATGAAGTTTAAAAACAGTTTCACATTCATCTAAATATTATTCAATTAAATGATTCAAAAGTAATGTTGGCCCTGTTTAAAATATCTCATTGGCTGGTATAATGTGAGCCTGTTTCCACTTGGTATAACCAACCCAGCCAACGAAGGTAAAGCCCAATTAAGACCAAAGATTCAGGACGAGATGAAGCGGTTTTGGAACGTTACCTGTCTCTACAGCCAATCTGCTTATAATCCATCTATCCTCCTTCATATTTTAAGAAGCTACAAATTAGATTCAGCCACAAAATAAACCTGAAAAGCTGGAAATCAGAACAGAGGTACAGAGAGTTGTTGCATAGAGATGATACACCATCTCATCTAGTTGCATTGGTGTGAACCTGCAGGTTTTTAGAACCCAGGGTATATGCAAGAATCCTGAGGTTAATTTCAATACCTTTTTAAGACTTTTTTAAGACCTTCCAAAAAAAACCTTAAGACCTCATCGCCACTTCAAGCTGTCGTTAGCAGCAACGCATCTTTAACTTACTAAACAGTTGTAGTTTGCAATTAAATCTATGGAGCACAAACATACAACAGAACTCAGATAAGATGAGAAGGATTTTTTGTTGTCTTTTGCTCCTCTGTTTGGTGCCTGGACGTGCACTGTCGCGTGATGTCGCACAGGTACGCACACGGCCCTGAGTGGCACTCCGAATGTGCCTACCTACACACTGTTGTTTGTAATAGTCGCGAGGTGGAAAATAAATTATACATTCATGGATACTTTTTGTCAAAGCTTGAATGCCAAGAAAATTTAATACTTCATAAAATCGTGATTAAGACTTTTTAATACTTTTTAAGGGCCTTAATTTTCCAACATTTGATTTATCAACTTTTAATACTTTTTAAGACCCCGCAGACACCCTGGAACCCTACAGAACGTCGCATTGCAAGTAGTTGCCTGTTTCAACTCGTCTCCTTGCGAATCTTTGGTCTGAACTTGGCTTAACAAGTACTAGCCAATCAGAGGCAGACTGTGGTGGGTTTAGCCTTCCCTTTCCTGGGAAACGCACATTCGCTGGCAGGAAACATAAAAAGATCTGCGACAATTTGTTTTGCTTTGACGATAACGACACAAGGAACTCAACAATTCAGGACTACGCAAACATGCAGAGGCACCCTACTCACTTTTTTGTCATTTTGAAATGGTGTATCTCTTCGCAGATGGACTTCAGGTAGCGCTGCTTGGGGAGACGAGACAGCAGGGTCTTCACGCTGCTGTTGAACTGCTCTTCGCTATCAAACTGGAGAGAAGGAAAGAAAGAGAGAGAGTTAATGCAACAAAATGGGAACATGGCAGCTAGGTGACAAAATCACTGACATCAAACAAAGGTAAAAAATTGCAGACTATCCAACTCAACCTTTTCTCCTTGCTCGTGAACTAGATGGCATTTCGGAGGAATAAATGGGGTTTCATATGTTCATGTTTTGCATGTTAAGTGTAGCGGGGCAGTGGAGTCACAAAGCTACAGAGGGTTAATAGATTTCCTTGGCTGCTTGTGTGACTTGGGGTAATTTGCCATATTTAAAACAGGCCTTTCCTGCACGCCTGGCTATACCCACTGTGTATTGTCATGCCTTTTATATACTCAACGTGTTTTCTTTGACACATGTGCTGTAAGGGGCCGACTCACTGTATAGGTGGCCCATTCATTTATGGAGTGGAGGCTTGTGCTTATATAACAGTGGTGTTAAGAGCTTTTTTTCAGCTTTCTTCATGTTTCTTAGCACAATATAATTTAAGTTGTTTTTTTTTAAATCTCTGCTCTGAGGTTTTTACGAGTGCAGCTTTGGTCAGGAGTTTGGAATGTGAATATTAACACCTCTCAAGTATGCATTTTGTTAACTGTAGTGCGTGTCTGCCCCATATGTGAGCCTAGTTAACGGCGTGCAAGTTAGACTGTTAAGCGTTGGAAAAAGCCAGGGGTGTTCCCTCACTCCGCTCCTCATCAGGACTGTAAGGAAGCAGACGGGATCCCCTCTTCCTGTCTGCAATCTTGACCTCTATTGGCCGTTCTTTCCACTTCCCTCAACCCGTCCCACTATTCATCAAGGATGAGGCCTTTTATTAACTCTGCAAAGGTCTTGATGAAGCTGTTAGGGAACCAACCTCCAGGGACAGGAAGTTGATCAGTGTTTCCTTCAGCAGGTCCACCTGTGGGATACAAAACAAGCAAGGTTACACAAAGACACAATGGAGCCTTATCTCACGTCGCAACAATCCCACAAACATATCCATAATCGAGCTAAAAATATCAAGCGTTGCACCCGCTGCCCGATAGCTTGTGTAATTCTTTCAACACAAGATAATCCAGTTCGCTCTGACATCAGTAAATTACTTATAATTCCACTTGCACAATGCCCTCGCCAGACCTGAAAGCACTCCATGTCCCTTTTACAGGAAGGGCCTAATGGCCTCCTGGATTTATCATTGGAAAATGAGTAGTGCTGTGTTCCACTCAGACTGATAGACAAGCAGCTGCTGACATGCAGCAATGAAGACTTATAGGCCTCTCGCAACTGCTTACCGGAATCAAGGTGATTATGTTTCAATAACTTGTATTTACTGTTGCGTCGCTGATGCAATCCAGACCCCAACAGGGGTGTCAAATGTATTTGGAATATGCGGCGACATGGTAAATAAGACAAGCAGGGATGATTTACTTTGAGAATATCTGGCCATAAATCTACAACGCAACCACAAATAAACTCAATATGGCAGCCATTTGCATCCCCCCGAAATGACACGGTGACTGCCTTCTGTTTAGTGTTCATTGTTCTGTAGCGACTGGAATGGATTCACAGCCATCTTAACCTCCAGCAGGGGATTTTAGCGTCAGGCAAATCACTATCAAAGGGCTGCTCCCAGTGATGTTTGCGGTTTTAGCTATCAAAGGTCCCCTTTCTCGCTCCGCGATTTCACACATGAATTCAATAGATAAGGTGGGAGAGCAGAAAAGGGGAGCTGGGATTGGGAGGGATAAAGGGGTAAACAAACAAATGACTTACTGCTAGGACTTCAATGTCATTGCTCCTGTTCTGCAAATTGCTACCGAGAGTCTGTAATCTGGTCTGGATCTGTGTGAGAGAGAAAGAGTTGAAGAGAAACACAGCAAGAAATAAATAAATGGAGAAGGGTGGACGTAAATATTAGTTGTTCCCATGATCAGAATGAACTGGCAGGAAGAAAATCATCATGTGCACTCATTTTATAGGCAAACCAATGTCCTGTTCTACAGTTACAAGCGCCATATTGTTAAAGATGACAGTATGGGGCGGCTGTGGCTCAGAAGGTAAAACAGGTAGTCCACCAATCGGAAGATGAGCGGTTTGATCCCCGGCTCAAGGAAATGAACCCCAAATTGCTCCCGATGGCTGTGTGAGCGTGTGGCACCTTATATGGTAGCCTCGGCCACCAGCGTGTGAATGGGTGAATGTGAAATGTAGCGTGAAAGTGCTTTAAGTGGTCGGAAGATTAGAAATGCGCTATACAAGTGCAAGTCCATTAAGTAAATGCTCCGATGTTTAAGACAAGCACGCAGAGATGCAAAGAGGAAGCGAATACATGATGGAGAGACAACTGTTGGTGTGGGTCAGTGGACAATGGAAGTCAAGAACTGGTCTTTTCATGGATATGACAATGCACTGCTTTAATATGAATGGGTGAACATACTTAAGAACTGTGTGCAGAATGCACAGACACTGTATATCCTGCATCAAAGCTTTCGTGGTTTCAAATGAAGGCGAGTGCAGTTACGAGGAGACAACCTCTCTTTATATCCGAAGTAAAAAATAACATGCTTGAAAAAATGTTTGGGTAGGAGCACTTCCTGTACTTTAACTGAGATTGTTTGCGGTGCTCTTTAAAGGAGGATACACAATGACAAAAAAAAATTACTAAAAAAAATCCCATGCTGTCTATTTTTAAAAGTTGAAATGTTTTTATTGTCACGGCATGGTCATTTAAGAGTTACATACAAACTCAGATGCATTTCAGCATCAGGCCTTCATTAGGGAGGCTTGATGCCGAATGGCGTCAGCCGTTGTTTTTAGGTCTAACATGACCATGCCATGACAATAAAAGCACTTTAATTTTTTAAAAACCTACTTGAGTTTGAAGTCAATTTTAAGCTGCACTTCAGAGAGCTATTATTTCACCAGCAATAAAGTGTGTGTGTGTCACCAACATGAGTCTCGTAGCGTCGTCTCGCACTGGCAGAAACTTTTTCCGGGCTGATGACGTTCACATTCATGTTCATGATGCCGCTGCTCCCATGCTGCTCTGATAAACCTACAGACAGACAAAAGAACCATTTCCACATTTGTTCCAATCATGAGACACTAATTAGTCACACCTTAATCTCACATTTACACCATCTAATGAGACAAAAGTGAAAACTACCTTTGTTTGACTAATACAATTTAATTAACAGTTTGATGCTACCTGTGTGCATGCCAGAAGGTGGAATGTTACACTTCTTCTATTGCACTAATTGTACAGTGCTATGAGTAACAAGTCAGTTGGCAACACTGGGAACAGTCATACTATGCAGATGCCACATTGATTACAATATTTTGTTAAATGATTTAACACTTTTAATGCAGCACAACTGTATGAAAACAGAGGTGTGACTATAAAGAATAAGTGGTGATATCAGACCTGTGGTGTTGAGCAGTGATCCTTTAGGGTTCTGAGACATGCTCTCAGAGATTTCTCTGCAGGGGCACAAAGACAACATTATATAAGAACACCCCCCCCCCCCCACATCATTCAGACATCTGAGCCGCACATTAAACCAGAATGTCTTTACCTGATGTTTCTCTCCTCGGAGAATTTGGTCCGACATTTCTGAATGATGTGGTCCACCAAGTCCGACTCGTGAATCCGTTTCTCAGACTGTCTGTCCTTCTCGAAGGACTTGACCTGAGGAGTGCAAATGGCTTTAACATGTATACAATGTTCCCATAATTCTCCCTTATCAAAACAGTTTGAAAAGAATCACGAGCTGCGATGCTACTCACAGAAGAGCTGCTCTTGTGTGTACAAAAAAAAAAAAAAAAAAGACACCGCTTTCTCAAAATATATTACGGCCTAATGATTTCAGGTGTCAATGGACTTCCTGATAAGACTGGGCTGCAGGACATGAGGAAAATACGGGACATGCAATAACACTGAATGCTGCGATAACAATATTAAATAGGAGTAAGAAACAGATATTAAAGAGTTCTCAGCTCTGCCTTTCTGCTTTCAGTACACTGCTAAAACACAACAAACTGCTTGTTACACTAAAAGAATGAAAGGAAATTATCAACATTATTTTACTGAACAAATGACACCTAACGGCAATAAACCCAAAAAAATCACTGAGTGCAATATTGCAGTTTTTCAAAATGTGTTTATCACACAATTTTATATCATGATAACGATTTAAAAAATGACACATTGTGCAGCCCTATTGGAAAACGCTGCACAATGCTTTGCTGCACAGTAAGGCTGGTTTACCTTCACATAGTTCCCCTCCTTGTCCGAGACCAGGGCCATACAGTTGATGCCGGCCAGCCTGCAGTGCTCCATCAACGTCTCCTGAGACTAAACACACAAAATGACAACAGGCTGAATTATGCACGTGCACAATGCAAGTGGTGATTTACAGGGTGCAACTCAGCTGAACTACAAGGACATAAAAATGACTGACAATATCTGAGAACGATCATTTTCACAACATACTGCACATGTGAGCCATTCACTGCTAGAGCTCTTGTTGCAGCGGCTCAGTAATGACCTTTCCTCATGTTTCACTGGCTGCGTTTACATGCACATTAATATTCCACTATTATTCCCAATATGACAGTATTCTAAATTTGATACGGGTCATGTAAACAGCATGTTCTGTTTAGATATTCCAAATAAGGCTTTTTTCTGAATTTAGCATTTTCCGAATGAGACATGTGGGATATGCCGGTATGATTTAGGTTTCAATAGCATTCTTTTAACATATATATACAGTGTCTCAGTTGGGGTTTTTTACCGCAGTTTGCAACACACAGCCTCTTGTCTGTTTACAGTCAGCTCGGTGCATTGACTATATTGCGAACAAACACACTCCAACAGTTTGCAAGGCTGGAGTAGCGATGCATGCCCGAAAGAAAAGCCCATGTTTCTGGTCAGAAGAACAAACACACCTACTTTTATATATATTATAAAGACTTGGGTATCAGTGGTTTTCTGGATAGGCCCAAATATCGCACCACCAACCTTTTCAAGGTGGTTGAAGGAATGAAAGAGGGAGGCTGTGTTTGTAAAGTCCAACAAGTCTGCCATCGTTAGGACTCTGACAAAGTCCTATTTTTAAGCAAAGAAGCAAAATAACAAGCGAGTATGCATGGCTGTATATCAACGGGATTATTGGTGGAATATTAATTTTCATTAGCCATGTAAACAGCTTACTAGAATTGTTAGCGTTTTTCAGAATAAGGGAAGAAAAAATAATATTTCGTGCATGAAAACGTAGTGAGTGTTGGGGCTTGAGGATGGCGGCCAGAAGGCGGTTGCGTGTTTTCTTCCATTCATTACTAAAAGAACTGTAAGTCAAGTTTGACGTTTAGGTAGGAAAAAGCTCGTTCTCGGGGAACACTGGACTCGCGGCTTCAAAAATTCTCCTACAGTTTGAGTTTTGCTTGGAACCAGAGTGTGGGTGTGCGACGTGCTGGGAGCCACAACCCAAACCAAAGTGTATTCAGGTAAAGCATTCAACCATGACAGTTTGTATGCATGTATATGTTTATGTCAGCCCAATTAATTCAGCCAGAGAGTTTCATCTGGCTGCTCGGCTGGACGGGCTAACTGTGGTGCAGTATAAACCCTTCTGTGTACCACAAGTGTGTTTATGTGCATGTGTCAGTTTGTCTCGTCATCACGTAAGCACTAGCACTTCCTCTTTTCTTACGGCTTTCTCATTTTCTCATGTGGAAGGGGTTTGCCATATTTGGCTAATAAACGCTAAAAGAGTGGAACCGTCTCCTGAGGATGAATTAAAGCTGCAGATTCAGGCCTGTTAAGAGGCCAGCATGTGAAAGGTGTTAACAAAAGTCTAGTGAGGGGGGAGGGATGGGCGAGGAGGTCCGAACTAGGTGTTCTCAGCATCTCGCCACTGGTCAAGGCACCAACTGCATACATAATCAACAAATACACACACACACACACACACACACTGTCGACAGTTTGGACATGATGCCGCTTGTTTTCAGCCAACCTTTCTTAAATGCTTCTAAGGACTTGTAAGGGGAAACGAAGGTGGCCAATCACTTATGTCCTGTGCCAGTACAAAAGACAATGACGACCATTAAAAGCAAACACTTGTCCACTGCACAAGTGGAAAGTTAAAACAATAGGTTGTTAGGAGTAAAAGGAGGAAAAAGACACAAGGAGTATTTAAATGTGAGTGCAGCAGTATGCCAGGGAGGGCGTTTACACCAACACACAAACACAAGGCTGAGATCAGTTTGTCACATAAACATGAAGAATGTGACAGTGCTATGGCATGTGGAGTGCTGGACCAGAAGATAAATAACTTCACTTTGAAGGGACTGATCTCAGCGTGACTGTTTCCCCCGAACAAGAGCTAATCATAAAAGTTTATTGGCAGCTTGTCTAACAGATGACTGAGTTGATTATTGCAGAAATGACCCCACACTGTATTGTCCCAATATGGCCTGTGAGCCTCTTTCAAGTGAAACCACAAAGTGCGGCTCATTCTCCGGGATGTTTACTATTTCTGATGCCGTCACGATAAGTCTGTTGCTGACAGATTAGGGGCTTTTTTCCCCTCAAGAACGGAAGTCACGTGTTGCCCTCTGTAGGGGGGATGAAGTTACTACAGGACATGAGGGAAATCAAACATTTTACACAAAGGCAACTTCCTATTCAGGGATCTACAAGGTCAGAAAGGTAGTCGAGTGCTTGTTTAACAACAAACACGAGGTCTCACTTACACAGTTATTAGTGGATGGACACTAAATGAAATCCTTCTGCTTGAACTACTCCATGTACAGTGCTGCTGTAGCCACGTCCTCCCTGCAGATTCCTTCCTTTTGCAGGTCCGGAAGCAACAATAAGGGAGCGACTTAATCAAAAGTCCACTCTGTTTCCTTTAGCTGAGATATATTCAGGGTTGAGCCTTAATAGCTCTGGCGTGACTAGGTCTGTTATGCTGAATGTTTGTTGTGCATTTTTACACTATTGCTACTTTTCATGTTGACTGTTGACACTTTGTTATTTTCAATTCAATATTTTCTTGACAAAAAACATATGAGAAGCTTACAAAACTTTATGGCATATTTGGTTCTCATGCTTAACTTGATATATGTGAAAAAGATGTCATTTTTGTCATTTATAAATGCAGGCAAAGTGTATGTTCATAGTTTAAAAGTTTCACTGCAGACCAGTTCCAACCCCTAATGTGCTTTTTCAACTGGCAGACCACAACTGAAGACATTTCTCATTGAATCCACTTGAAACCAAAGGTCTAGTGTAGGATTTAGTGACATCTAGTGGTGAGGTTAAAGATTGCAACGAACTGAAACTTCTCCTGTGTGCCAAGGGTGTAGGAGAACTACAGAAGCCGCCACGAAAACACAAATGGCCTCATTTAGAGCAAGTGTTTGGTTTGCCCACTCTGGCCGACTGTAGAAACAACATGGCAGACTTCATGGAAGAGGACCTGCTCTGTATGTAGACATAAACGGGCCATTCTAAGGTAACAAAAACATAATGCTTAGTTTAAGGTGATTGTGCACTAAGGAGAACAAAGTTATGAATATAAAATTCCATTTCAGCCAACATATCACCCTAGATCCTACACACCGAACCTTAAAGGTGCTACGTGGAGTTTTTGACCATTTGAAGCGCTAAGGTGCAGCATTTCATGTCTACACAGTTGACAGGCTACCCATTCCTACCAATGGTTTCACACTATCCCACTGAACTCCAGGTGGTGGCGATGTGCCAACAAATGTACAAGCAGAGGAAGGGAAGAAGACGACTACTAGCAAGCAAACATCGATGTAGGTTTCAAAATGTTAAAAAATCTTTGTAAATGCTACTAAATGTATTGTATGTATTGTACTGTTTTTATGGTGTAAATTTGGCTGTCTACTGCTGTTGCAAATCAAATTGCCCCTCGGGGACAATAAAGACTTTCTAATTTAATCTAATCTAATGCTGTATGTGGAAGAAAATAAACTCTACACTTCTGTAAGGCTTCAAGGATTCACACAATGTTTTGGCAAATAAAACAGAATGTAAGCCTAACTATGATTACAAAAAAACTCAGCAGAACACCTTCAAATTGAATTTGATTTGATAGGTGTGGACGATTCCAACCATCTGTTTCAGCTTCACTTAATTTGTGCAATTTTGCATGTTTTGGTGGTGCTTTTTGTAGTTGGCTTGGTAGCACGTGGCTTCAGGTTACTCATCAGGGCGAGGAAAATAACTCAACAGTCTGTAAACTCTCCTCCTGCCAACTAAAAATGTTGAGGTTTTCAAATGTAAACATCATAAACATCGAGGAAACATGGAGAAGAATGGACACCAGCTGAACTAGCAACCAGCTACCCATTGTAAAGGTGTTTGAAAACAAACTGGATGACCTCTGTGCTGCATCAGTTTCCTACGGGATATCAGGAACTGTAATGTCCTTTGGTTCACCAAAAACTTGTCTAAATCCTGGACTGTGCCATTGAACCTGGTGACTCCTTTCCTATATGCTGATCTGACAGAGCAGAGGACTATGGTGAGAGAAGGGAAGGAGGTGTGTGCTTTATGGTGCATAAGGACTGGTGTGTTGGTGGGAATGTGAGGTGTTGTCCTGTTCCTGCGGCTGCAGAGCAGAGTCACTGCCTGTGTTCGCGAGGAGTGACTATATGGCCGTCTTGTTAAGGTTGGGATGTGTGCACAGTCAAATCATTCCACAGTCTGAAACCGTGGATTACCAGAACCATCCAGAAACATGGACAATTATAAAGGTCTAAAAAGGGCAGGTCTATCAGGCAGGCCACTCACCTGAGAGACATCATAGGCGATGTCTGCAGAGACGCCTGTGCTCCACAGCTTCTGGATGACATTGATGGCTCTGGACATTGAAGAATGTCCCACTGGGACCACCAGAGCATCACAGGAGCTCACTGGTGGCTGATGCAAAGAAAAAACAGAGAATGTAACAACTGTCAAAAACTGAAAGTTGCAGTAAACTGTGCTAAAATAACTTCTTTGTTATAAATGACTCATTTCATTGCCCTTCTCCGTCTTCACACCTACATGCAGTTCTCTAAGCAAATCATTACACATTATGAAATATGGAAAACGGTGCACTTCCAAAAATATCTCCATGGCGTCAAGAGCCACAGTGATCATAGTTATTAACATGTTTCTAAAAGTGGCTGTGTGGCGGCCGACTGCTGTAATAAGGCATCATTAAATATGTAGCTGTCTGCTGCTCCTTCATTACAATGATTAGGAATGTCAGATCCCACTGTGTCTGTGCGTCTGTCTAAGTGTGTGTATGTGTGTGTGTGTGTGTCTCACTGGCTCCTCCATGTTGGCCATAGCAGCACAGACTTTGTCCAAGGCCACACTGGCCCCCACCGCAGAACGTACTGGCACTGTGGACGCTGGCCCACGAAACTCCAGGATCTAGCAGCACAGAGAACAAAGCACATAAAAGGTACCATGTAGACTGCAGCACCAGCACCGCTTCATATGGAGTTAATGGGGTACAGACACAAGAGCTGTGGTTGAGATGGAAGAAATGTGGCTCACATACATGCAAAAATGTGGATGAACGGCAGTAAAACCTACCAAGTGGTCGTAGCGTCCTCCAGCGGCCACTATGTCCGGCACAGTTCGTTTGCGTTTCCTAATGAAAGCCACAAACTGGAAAATGACCCCAGAGTGATGCTGCACCTTGTACACCAAGCCTAAGTTAACCACCACCTATAGAGAAGATAAAACTGGGTTAAAGGGGGGGAAACATACACAATTCTTTAAACATTCATTCACCCAGAATCCAAATCACCTGCAGTTTAACTCCCAGTCTATGCAGCAGCACTGTGAGCTCCTCCAGGTCCTTGAGGCCCTGCTTAGCCAGCTGGGTGACGGCGGTCTTCTGTTTGGTGAGGGATGTCAGCAGTGGCGCCAGGTCCTGCAGACTCCCCTTCTGCTCTATGTACTTGTACAGCGTCTGCAACTGTACGCAACAGAGGAGGGATCTCAGTGTTTACGAGTGAGAGCAAGTGTGCTGCAGCGGGACTGATTGTTTTTACAGGAGGTTAGTGCACCCAGCGGACACTTACGCTGTTGGTTGACAGGGAAAAGTTGCAGAACTTTGCCTCCACCTCACGTTTGGTCAGCTTCTCGCTCTGGGGCAAACGGAAAAAAAGGGGCCATAGGAATGTTACCACTGCTATTTTTGGGAAGAAAACTATTACTTATGTTCATACCAGCATATCAGCAACAGTCACGCAATGTGAACAACATCTGTGATGCATGTGTGACCTGCACTGACCATGGCGTCACACAGTATCATTGAGGCCTGGCTCAGTTTGTCCTCAGGGACTCCGCTGTGGAGAAGGATGGCCTTCAACAAGCTGGTGTGGTTCAGGTAAATGTTATAGTTCCTTTCCTGCGGTCACAAAACACACACAAGCACACCTTTAACCCTCTCAGCTGCAATTACAGTCAAAAACCAAGAGCACTGCTGCACAATGAGCGCCTGAGTGAATAATGACTGTTGTGTCCGGCTGCCCTCTCATTCTGCCTGACTCATGTATTCTTAAAAGCTTTCACACAAAGAGCAGGGTGGTGGAGGGGATCAGAAACAGGATCTACGAGGGATGAACCAGAGGCCAGACCCTGAGGTGACCGGGTTCAAGAAGCGTGCAAGGAGAGCTGCGACTGGAGACTGACGCAGCACTGGGTTATGTGGACAGGAAATGGATTGTACTGGGAGGCAGGGAAGGAAGTGGACCGAGCTGCGCATACCAGATTCACTATACAAATAATAAATACAGTGTAAATCTGTCAGGCTTACACATACTTTGGTATGTTGGGAATGTGAGCGGGGAAGTGAAAAGGGAAAAAACAACGACAGGACAGGTTGTCATGATGGCATCCAAATATGGATGGAAAATAAGGAACAATGATGCATCCAACCACTCGAAAAAATGCTCTGAATGTGAATCGAGACAAGGCAGCAGCGCACTGGATCATTTAAAATACAGTTCATGTGCGTGACCTGAAGCACGGGGAACTCCTGGATTATCTCAGAGATGGTGTAAATAGTCTCGGCATCAGGGAGAAGGCTGTTTGTGACGGGTGTGACGATGTCAAAGGCACACTCCAGAAGCTCCCTCGGGTGCGCGCGATCCAGCTTCCTGGGGCGGAATACGCGTTCAATGCTGTACCTTGAGAAGGAGTGAGAGGGACACAGACACGTGTTTATTCTCAAGAGGGATGTCAGTTTTCATGTAGACTCAAAAGCACCAGCACTACTTGTGATAAGGCTTTCTGAATTAGCGAAACAGTTTAATTTGATGTTGATTTGACTTATTATGGAACAAAAATACAATCATTGTTTCTAAAATTTTCTCCACCTTCATAATTTTGTTGCAATAGTATGTGATTTCCATATATGCAGCAAACCCTGTCATCATTTTGAGTAGAGCTTTTTTAAAATCATTATAACAATGTGTTAAATCATTAAACTTTACCTCTTCAGGTGAGTTATATTATTGCGAGCGATGAACCTTGAAAACGCCATCTAAAGTAAAAAGAGAGGCGAGACATTAGGTGCCCCGCGTAATGACAGTGAAGCCAGTGCATACCAGGCTGTAATCAATCACAGTGTGGAAACAACCATTTAGTCCTCAGGGTTTCCTGAGGTAGCAGGATTTTAAGGCGGCTGCTGATTGCAGCCTCACACTGTGTGTGTTTGTGGGTGTGTGTGTGTGTTTGCATGTGCTAATGCAAATACTTGTGTAATTAGTGTTTGTGTGCAAGCACGGACATGCACGCCTGCACGTGTAAAGTGTGTGCGTGTGTTGGGCTCACGCGAAGGTCATAGGGCAGTGTAACCAGCATTCCGCTGTGGTCCATGAAGCAGGCCAGCTCGCTGCCTTCGTACAGCTTCCTGTTTCTGGGGAGGAGCAGCGGTGTCTGGAGACGCACCGCACCTGAAAACAAACATGGTGTATTACTGCTACATCTGCATAAGACAACACAGCCCTCGCCCTAAAAGAGATGATGCATGCGAGCCGAGACGAACTGAGCATAAACAAATAAGTACAGCTGGACATCATCAGCGGCGTGCGCAGAAATAACACCCGCACCTGCACAGAATCTGCGCTGCCCAACAGTGCGCTTATTGTTTAGCTGCCACTCACTGGAGCAGATGTCGGGGTCCCGAAAACAGGGCTTACAGCAGGGTCAGGAGTCCAAGTGGTTTGCAGTGGAGTGTCAACAAAGGCTCGCGTTCACATGCACACACCAAACAGGCCAGGTGGTGTAGTGTAGCATAGTGTACTCACCGTGCTTCTTGAAGATCCTGGTGATTGTTTCATACACATGCTGCTGCAATTTGGTACTGCTGAAGCTGAAGCTGCCCTGGAGGGAGAACAAACAAACAGCCTCTGTTAGGGATCAGGAGACATCGATTAAGCACTAACAGGCCTTCTGCTGGTCGGTTATACAGAGCAGATGAGTGAAGGAGCACTGAGGGGTTGGGGCTGCTATTCATATGTCTGCAGTGACATCTTCAGGAAGAACGAGGAACTACTTGCTTAGTATGAGCCAACTTTTTACTGTATCTTTACACTTACATTTACAACATACCCAAAACACATAAGTCTTAAAGGAACACTTCATTCCCCAAATGACCATTTGTGTATCAATTACTCATCCTGTGTGAAGTAGAATTTATGAAGAAAACGTAGCTTTCCTCGCATGCCTCAACGATGAACTATGGATCTAAACATGGACAAAATTCTCGATGAATTGGAGTCGTGGGGGGGTGTCTAACAACAGCAAACTATATTAAAACATCTGTTTACAAACTCTCATATGACTCATAAATTCCCTAAATGTTCAAATGTCAGACACATGACCTTCCCTCTGGTCTTGTACAAAGTATGTCTAATATTTTTCCTACTTTAAACACCACATGTGCTTTATTTAAATAAATGCAAACACTTGAACCAACTCAACTCCAGCAGCAGCCTCACCTTGTGTAGATCTATGTCATAGGCGTAGTCCATGACCGGAGAGGTGTTCTGGGCAAACAGCTGGCCCACCATGGTGCGGTATGCCTTGCCGTTGATGTTGGCCATGGTGTGCTGCAGCACCTCATGCAGCTCCGACTCCTCCATCTGCGGCGGAGGCAGCAGTTCGCTCTTCAGCAGCTCCTGGGCAGTGGGCCGCAGTGCCGGGTCGTGGTTCAACAGCCACTCAATCACCTTCTTCTGACAGACACGAAGACGAATGACAGAGAACCATTCTAGTGTTAACTTTAGAACAGAGAGGGAAAAGACTCATATCAAAATGCTGCAGCGTCCTCACCTGTGTCCCTTGCTCATACGCATTAAAGTCCTCAGGGAAGATCATGGGCTCCTGCAGCGTGGAGAGAGACGAGGTCAGTAAAAAGCCAGTTTCAATTACCTACATGGATTGCTCTCTTCTGAACATGGACGTACCACACGCAGCTGGCTCAGGACAGAGATGCGCTCGGCCCCCGTGGTCATGGGCCGATAGGACATCTCAAAGAGGATGATGCCCAAGCTGAACAGGTCGACTTTCTGAGAACAGAGAGAAAAGATGAATAACAAAAGTCACGAGGAAGCAGCTGCACAAGCTTTAATTAAATCTATTTTTCAATAAAAATCTGACATCTTACTTGGTTGTAGGTGGCTTTGGTGTTTCCTTGAACCTCCGGGCTGACGTAAAGTGCAGTGCCAACCATGCCTGTCATGTTACCTGCAGAGTAGTGACACAAAAGCAGTGTCAGGGAAGAACGTGAATATCAGAAAAAACTCAGTACACTGTGTTAATGTGTTTAAACTCTCTGCACCTGTCGGGTCCGGTTTGGGCATCACTGCTGAGCCGCCATCTTCCACTTCAAATTTACCTGCAGCCTGAGAGAGTTAAGAGTATCTCCTGAAGTGCATAATGTCTTCATCAATGGAATTATGCATTAAATATGCACAAGCAGCCACAGTGCAGCCTGTTAAATGAATACCACATTAGGTTTAATGCGTACCACATTAGCAGGATGGTCTGTGGCCAGGCCAAAGTCCCCAATCTTCACGTGGTCCTGCGAGTCGAGGAAGATGTTGACGGGCTTCAAGTCCCTGTGAATCATACCCTGAAAGAGCGGAGGATAGATGAAGAGCTCTGCTGGTTCATGGGTAATTGAAAACATGGCGTCCTCCTTGTTAACATTTATGTTATATTTAAGTATGAGAAGCACATGGCTTGGATTTCTTAGTGTGATCCTTGCGGTAATCAGACACTTCCGTGGCAAATGGGCTTATGATCTTTAACGAAGGGTGGACACTTAAACACATAAGTACACACAGATTGAACACCTGCTCGTGGATGTAAGCGAGGCCATCCAGTATTTCCCTGAAGAGTCTCCACAAGCGAGTCTGGTCCCGGTGCAGGCTCTGATCTATCGTGTCTCTTAAAGTGCTCTTTTCACAGTATTCCATCTGTCGGGAGCAGAAGACATGCTTTAGATGTGAGGCAGAGATCTCTAGTGGTAAAGAAATGGAGCGCGGAGGTGAGGCTTACTTGTATGTACAAGTAATGTGCTATAAGGGGGGGTCGATCTGAGTCCGTGCTCTCCGTTGTGTCAATCACGGGCCTTTTGCTTGGCTCACCCTGCGAGAGGAAACATCATGTTTGTTGCTCTGACAAACACAAATGAGTGAATGAATGATGCAGTGTAAATATTCAAACCTGTGACATCTCGTCTGTGCTTTCATCGTCGCCATTGTTGAAAATGATGTCACTACTTGAGTCACTATCTGACGGCCTGGAAGCAAAAAAAAAAAAAAAAAAGATAGTGAAGATAGTGAAAGTCTTGCTGGACTTACTGCCTCTAAAAAAATACTTACAAAAAAGAAGCGCCAAACACATCTTCTTCCTCATCATCATCCTCTTCATCGCTCGACTGCTGTCCGCCACATTTGGCACTGGAGGATTTCTCGATGGAGGTGGACCACTCCACCGAGCTGGACAGAGCCGGAGGCGGCGCAATGTCCTCCACGTTATCGGCGAGTCCCAGCTCGTTGATGCTCCGCGGAGGCTCTTTGCGCTGAGGGGGCTTGTCAGGGGAGCTAAAAGGCTCAGAGCTGTCAGTGTTGCCCAGCACCCCTCCAGGGGGCGTCTCGTGCCGCTCAATCCACGCGTTGTAGTAGCGGACTATATTCTCATGGTTGAGGCGGGAGAGCAGTGTCACCTCGCCTTTGATGCGTCTGAACTGTTTACTGGCCGGGTTGACCTGGATGCGCTTTACAGCATAGTAGCAACCATCAAGGTTATTCTGGACCTGGAGAAGGAAAGTGAAAAGGAGGACATAAAGAAATCACAGCCAACTTTTTTGCCACTGTAACACCATCTCCTGATAAGGCTAAAGAGCCCACCTTAATTACAGCACCAAAGGCCCCTTTTCCAAGAAGCTGGAGTTCTTCAAACTCATTGAAGTATCTAGAAAACTGCCTCTGCACCCCGGTGCTGAAGGGAGCATTGAGGATGTGGCTGCGTGGGATGACTGATGATGGGAAGTCCACCGCAGGATCTGAGATGACAAAAAAACAAACCAAACTTGACGAACTATTGTACTGTCTTGCTGGAGATGATCTTTCTCATTTATCAATTTACTGTACTTCAAAATAAAATGTCGTTTTTACAAACGTAACATGGTTTAGAGTCACATGTGGTCCATTCAGAACAGACCCAGGACCAACTTCTGGACTGTGACCCACCAGTTGGGAACTACTGCACTAGACAATTACAGTGGTGTGAAAAAGTGTTTGCCCCCTTCCTGATTTCTTACTTTTTTGCATGTTTTCCGCACTTAAATGTTTCAGATCATCAAACAAATTTAAACATTCGTCAAAGACAACACAAGTAAACACAAAATGCAGTTTTTAAATGAAGGGTTTTATTAATGAGGAAGAAAAAAATCCAAAGCTACATGGCCCTGTGTGAAAAAGTGTTCACCCCCTAAACCTAATAACTGATTGGGCCACCCTAAGCAGCAACTACTGCAATCAAGCATTTGCGATAACTTGCAATGAGTCTTTTACAATGCTGTGGAGGAATTTTGGCCCACTCATCTTTGCAGAATTGTTGTAATTCAGCCACATTGGAGGGTTTTCGAGCATGAACTGCCTTTTTAAGGTCATGCCACAGCATCTCAATAGGATTCAGGTCAGGACTTTGACTAGGCCACTCCAAAGTCTTCATTTTGTTTTTCTTCAGCCATTCAGAGGTGGAATTGCTGGTGTGTTTTGGATCATTGTCCTGCTGTAGAACCCAAGTTTGCTTCAGCTTGAGGTCCCGAACAGATGGCCGGACATTCTCCTTCAGGATTTTTTGGTAGACAGCAGAATTCATGCTTCCATTTGTCACAGCAAGTCTTCCAGGTCCTGAAGCAGCAAAACAGCCCCAGACCATCACACTGCCACCACCATATTTTACTGTTGGTATGATGTTCTTTTTCTGAAATGCGGTGTTACTTTTACGCCAGATGTAATAGGACACAGACCTTCCAAAAAGTTCAACTTTTGTCTCGTCAGTCCACAGAATATTTTCCCACAAGTCTTGGGGATCATCAAGATGTTTTCTGGCAAAAATGAGACGAGCCTTAATGTTCTTTTTGCTTAACAGTGGTTTTCGTCTTGGAACTCTGCCATGCAGGCCATTTTTGCCCAGTCTCTTTCTTATGGTGGAGTCATGAACACTGACCTTAACTGAGGCAAGTGATGCCTGCAGTTCTTTAGATGTTGTTGTGGGGTCTTTTGTCACCTCTTGGATGAGTCGTCGCTGCGCTCTTGGGGTAATTTTGGTCGGCCAGCCACTCCTGGGAAAGTTCACCACTGTTTCGTGTTTTCGCCATTTGTGGATAATGGCTTTCACTGTGGTTCGCTGGAGTCCCAAAGCTTTAGAAATGGCTTTATAACCTTTTCCAGACTGATAGATTTCAATTACTTTTTTTTTCTCATTTGTTCCTGAATTTCTTTGGATCTCGGCATGATGTCTGTAGCTTTTGAGGATCTTTTGGTCTACTTCACTTTGTCAGGTAGGTCCTATTTAAGTGATTTCTAGATTGGGAACAGGTGTGCAGTAATCAGGCCTGGGTGTTGCTACAGAAATTGAACTCAGGTGTGATCAACCACAGTTATGTTTTAACAGGAGCTGGGGGGCAAACACTTTTTCACACAGGGCCATGTAGCTTTGGATTTTTTTCTTCCTCATTAATAAAACCCTTCATTTAAAAACTGCATTTTGTGTTTACTTGTGTTATCTTTGACTAATGTTTAAATTTGTTTGATGATCTGAAACATTTAAGTGTGGAAAACATGCAAAAAAGTAAGAAATCAGGAAGGGGGCAAAGAGTTTTTCACACCACTGTATATGGTCCTCAAAATGAATTGCTCGCTGACTGAATTTTAGGATACTTTGGTTGCACTTTGTGACTTTGTTGTCCTTAACTTTCAAAAGTGTTCCTAATATTTCATCCCCCTCATTTCCACACTGCATATGGACGTGTATATCACCTTCTGGGCTTGTTTCCTGGTGGTGTGGCAAGTTTTTAGGTGATGGAGGCTTGAGGAAGGAGTGGTCCAAAAGCTGTTGGGCTGTCCAGCGTTCAGCATCATTCAGGCACACACACCTATGACAAATACACAGTGTACAGTATGAAAGACAAGAACAATCTAGGCTATGGCACAAGTCCACAGTGTGCTGGTGCTCTGCTGACAGCACAGAACAGATATACAGCACCAGAAACAAAGAAACAGTCTGTATAATCCAAATGGCAGTCACTGATTTCCCTTCATTACTGTACGGCATGAAAATCAACTCACAGAGACATGAAACTCTCTTAAGTTTAAGGCATTATATGTCTCAGTGTAGAGCTGCAGCTATAAGTCGGTTAATAGATCAAATTGAGAAAATGAACTGAGTGATCATTTAATATTCTGCTTTTCTCGGTCTTACAATGCAGCAAATTAAATATTTTCGGGGTCTGGACTAATGTTAAAACAAAACAAATGGTAAATTTAAATGGTTGTAAGTAAACAGTAAGCTCTGGAAGACTGTCAGCACTAATGGAGAGCATGCAGCACATGATTGTTAGTAGATGGGCTGAAACACTGGTACATGGTGAGGTATCCATCTATACATACTTGTGGAGGAAATCCTGGAAGTCAGCAGGCAGGCTGGCTGGCACCGTCACTGGATACTCCTTCACCTCCTTCCCCTGACTCAGACCCAGCAGCATCAGCCCCAAGTTCCACATGTCCCCTTTCTTGCCCGTTTTGGTCGGCATCACCATGTCCTCTGAGAAACGCACGTGGGCTTGCTCAAAAATGTCCTCTTTGCAGATATCGGCAAACCTCTTCGATAAGCTGTAATCAGTCAGTCGGATGTTGCCCTCGGAGTCCACCAGCACGCTGGAGGCCCCCAGCTGTTTGTGCACCACAGAGTTTGAGTGAAGGTAGTCGAGGGCGGCCAGCAGCTGGGCCGTGTAGTGGCACAGTTTATCCAGAGGGACCGGAGTGTGGGCGGTGAGGCTTTGGGTCAGGTTGATGCCGGCCACATGCTCCACCAGCAGGTTAACCACGAGGCAGTCCTCCTTCTCTGTGGAGCTCAGCGCCATGTAGTGCACCAAGTTTGGGTGATCCAGCCGCAGGAGGGAGTTGAACTCATTTTCTGCCCCGTGGATCTACACAGGAATGGTATTTCAGAAGTCAATTACATTACTTAATCACTACATTCTTAATGATAACACCTGCTTCCTTGTCTACTTGCCTGCTTTTTGCAGTTCTCAATCCTTCCTTTCTCCTGGCTGGTGAAGAACTTGCTCTTCTTCTTGTTCCAGCGCAGCGACCACTCGTAGACCACGACAAAGTCTCCTGAGTTCGCCTCAAATCCGTAATAAACATTACGCCGCAGCCTTTCGCTTTCTCCTGTTACAACATGAACACAGATGTAAGCATACAAAGAGGGTACTTGGGTGAAATATGCGACTTATGCGTCAGCTCTCACCTAAACTTTTCCCTCTGTGGACAGCAAGTTCTCCAAAAGTGCTGCTGTTGAAATGAAGGAGCTCCTGTGAGCGAGGGTTGTCTTCATTAACGGTGTCACGTCTGGGAAAACAGATGCAACTTTAAGCTTTGTTACAAGTTTCTTTAACACAAAATGCATTTGGTTTGCCGTCTACCTGTGGCGTGTATTCGAGGTAGTCCGACGGCGGTTAATAGCTGCTCTCTTGGCTTCTATCAGTTCAGGAGTAGCTCCACCTGGGCTGGGTGGGCTCCTGCCTAGCGGAGAGGCGTTAGCAAGGACTGGCTGCTCCATACTCTCAAGTCGCTCCTGTGAATATAGAAACCACACAGATGTTCAATTACAACTCCATTTATGTTGATTTGCAGGCAATATAATATAGACTGTGTATGTTTTACAGACACCTGTTTGGCTATCTCCTTTCTTCTCCTTTCCTCTCGTTTCTCCTCCTCTCGTCTTTGGATTTCAGCCATGATCTCTTTTTCCTATATGAATGAAAAATACTTCAGTAAACACCCCATTTAACTAGAGCTTATGTCAGTTGTTTAAGGTTTGGTTATTTAAGGAAATACCAAAAGGGTGCATAGTTTGTCAAATCTTTACAGGTCAGGCAAGAAAAAAAACTACCCTGTATCATTCCCAAAACTCAGACATCTTCTGTGTGTAGTTACATTAAAGTGTAGAATTTCTGGCAACTCTGGTATATACAATTATCATCTATTAATTAGCTGATGGGTTTTCTGCTTCTTGTTCACAGTATTAGCTGTAATTATTTAGTTTCAATTACACAGAACAGATAGGATTGACATTACAGCTCCCACAAGAGGACATTTAAGATCCTTCATGAATGGGCCGGACAAATCACTTAGAAATAACATTAGTGCAAAACCCCAGATAAAACTAATCCAGCATGAACGTCTCTCCTCCTCACCATCTCCTCCTCCTGCTTGCGCCGCTGGTCCATCTTCTGCTGCTCCTCCTGGGCTCGCTTCTCCTGCTGCCTCCGCTGGTTCTTCAGCATCTCCTCGTGGAAGGAGCTCGAAGGGGGCTTGTTGTGCTCGCTCAGGAAGCCCTGGATATAGTCTGCCAGCTCATAAATCATCACCTAGGTGGACAGGTAGGTAGGTTAGAAGCAATCTGTGTATGTACTTGTGTGTGTGTGTATGTACTTGTGTGTGTGTGTGTGTGTGTGTGTGTGTGTGTATGTACGTGTGTGTGTGTGTGTGTGTGTGTGCGCGCGTGCATGCTCACCTCCCCACATCGAGCTGCTGCCAGCTTGGTGAGTTCACTCTGGAGGTTTTGGAGGTTTTCATTTGACAGACCTTTGGCATTATTCAGCTCCAGCTCCGGGGGCCTGTAGGTGTCACAACATGTGAGTTACCAAGAGTGAAGGATTACTGGTAAAAACAGTGAGATGACTTTTACAACTCAGAGGATTTTTGTTCTGATTGTGCCTGGATTACCATCAGGCGCAAGGGGCAGTTTTCCCGGAATGTTAAAAAGCCGCAGTTTGGCCTGTAGAGAAATATGCAGCGTCTTTCTCAACATTTCCATTTCCCAAGTCATGTGGGCTCATGAGGATAAAAATGTTTTTAGTTAGTTATTAGTCAGTAGACAAATCTTGATAATCACTTAGTTGTGACAGTCCTTTTTTGTAATTCACTTTTTAAATTGGCATTTAACATTAAACATACACCGTATACATCAGGCATTCATGTTTATCACAGATCCCACAGCAGTCTTTTCACACACAGACACACAGACAGAAAAAATAAAAATTAAATTTAAAAAAAAAAAGAATATTTTTTTATTACAATATAATCAATAATTTGTAAAAATAAATAAATAAAATAAAATCAGGCCTATGGAGTAAATTGTTCTAATTTATGGTTCACATATGGTGCTATCTTCTCCATTTTCTAAATGTCCATTGTAATGTCCATCCATCCATTTCAAGTTGGGCTCTCCTGTGACAGCCATGTCCTGGTAGGAGTCTTTTTCCAGCCTCCAGCAGTATATCATCAGCCATTTGTCTCTTTTCAGCCATTCTTGGGGCATACACCCAAAAAATATAAACGTACTTTCTTGAAAATATCTTGCAGGGCTTTGTGTGTCCCTCTCCAATAGTCTTTAATAACAGGGCAGTCCCAGAAGACATTTGCATTTTGGTTTCCACAGTGTCTCCAGCAAACAGGGGTTCTTCACACAGTGGGATTTCTAAGAGGGTGTAGTAAAATACCTTTTCCAGCAATTTTCCCTCCATTTTTGTGATCTGGTAAATTTCCTTGGCCGCACTTCTAGCATCTTGTCCTATTCCCTTAATGCTGTACTGCATATAGTGTGGTCATTGCATGGGTGCAGATGTGATGACAAGTTTGGGGAAGACACAATCAGTTGTGATTTTATTTTAATTGCACGCGTGCAAATCATGCCCACAGACTGCTTGAGATTGCCAGCATATTTCACGATTTCATAGAGGCTCATCACCATCACCAAGTCATTCAAAAAGCACTACAAAGAGAATCATATGCTTACCTTTACTGTTTATTTCTCTTAAACAGCCAGTAGTACATGGAACCAGCCATCACCCTCCTTTTCACTGCTTTGCTGTTAGTTAATGCTACTTCTAGTTTCAGGGTCTCAGGCATGTTATGTCCACTCACGTTCTCATCTCTCACGGATTCCCATTTCTCCTCATCATCTTCCCTTTCTCCCAGTATACAGGACTACTGTATACATTTGTTCAATTTCAATCATTTAAGCTATTTAGAATTGGGGGGGACAATTTGTGTTTTTCAGAATTTGGGGGGGGACATGTCCCCCCCGTCCCCCCCCCCGGGATCTGCACCCATGGTCATGTGCTAGTTCCTATTGGTCAGACATTAGATCCAAAATCAGTGAGTCAATGCAGGTCATATCTCTGACATTCAACACATTACAAGCTGTTTTTACAACTCTGATTTCTAGCTTGTATGGTATCAGGCACACTGTAGTTAGCAGGCATGGAAGAAACCGGTAATGTGGAAATATACAGAGCAGACAATGCTAAAAAAAGACAGACAGAGAGAGAGGTGGAGGTGGAGGTGGAGGTGGAGGCAGAAGGGGCCTGTGACAGCACATTATTGCTTTCTAGCCTATCGATGCAGCCCAAGCTTCTGTACAAGACCTTTGCCTGAGTAAATCCTTTAAAATAAGCAAACATTTTGATTTAAATCTGAAACTATCTGATCAAAGAACAAACAGACAAGATTTTGAATGTGACCACACATTCAGTGCAGCTTTGGCACTTCACAGTGGCATTAACAGTGCTGCAGATACATTTTGGGTCTCCTAAGACAGGCGCTCTTAGACTGTTTTTTTTTTTCTTCCTTTTTTAATGCCTTTTTCTTCTGGGGGATTTAATGGCTTTGGCCAATATTACATTGTGTTGGATTTAGATAACTCTTAGTCACAACTCTGTTTTGAATACACAAGAAAACAATTTTTGCTCCAAGCATGAGTGGTACTTTATTGAGTTCACAGTCACATGCTTTGACACAAGACACTCTCAGCTTTCAAAAACCTCAGTATCCAAAAGCACAGGACACTATTTTGGGACTATAACTGGGAATAAATAAAAAATAAATAAGCTTGCCAATGCCATAAGATGTGCCATTTTTGTGCATCAAAGTTGCTGTTTTTATCTTCTTTGTTGCATCAAAAACAAAGTGCAACAGTCAGAAATACTACAAGTAATACAGCATCGATACCTGCACTGTGCAAAAACAATATTTTACAGTATGCTACTTATGTTTTTTGGAGTTGTTTTTTAAGAAGTAAGATAAGTACCCACGTTTTTTCTGCACCGCCTCATCTTACAAATAAAAAAGTAATTTAGGGTTACCAAAAAATTAAAGTTTGCAGTCATGTAGAGAGCATAAGAATAAGATAAAGGCATCCTAAACATGCATTTCTCTGACCAGTAGAGTCCAGGATGTCTCAGTATGTGGACAGACAATGAATAAGTGTCCTATAGACATAGTTTACATTGCAAAAGATCATTTAGAGACAGGAGTTGCATGGTGGAAAGAGACTTCCCTCACTTTGTTAGAGCAGCTGCTAACTATGTGTATGGACACCCTGTAGCGCAGTGGGAATAATGGGAACAGTGAAAACATGACAAAGGTCAGAGGTCAGTACTCACGCGTCTGGGTATGTCGGTGGGCATTTGACCTGCAAGTCCACAGTCACGTAGCACTCCTGTCCATTGTTCAGCCCGTTGGGCCGCAGGCAGAGGTGCACCTCTGGAGGCCTTTTAACCTGAAAACACAGCCAGCACACCCTCACTGATGATGTGCTCACCTCGGATCACTGCAGCTAACAGTGATAACGTGTCAACTTTTCCCCATCACTGCCTACAGGCTATGCATTCAGCTAACACCTCTAGCTACCTTCCACGGGTCGTTGCTCCGCAGATCCTGGAAGTCATCTCCAAAGATAGACGCGAGAGCCTCCAGCTCGTTTTCCTGTTGGACCGTGTAGTCGTCTGTCCCCTCTGCTGCTGCTGGAGTGTGCTGACCGCTCATTCTTCTGCCTCGGCTACATGGCAGTGCTCCTGTCCTGTCACACACGCACAGCCGTCAGGAGGAAGAAGGGGGAAGAAGAGGCTCCGCTCGGCTCTCCACTGCACTCACCGCCCTCCTCCTCCGCTCCTCTGTCACTTTGTTACCTCCAAACTTTAGCAGGTATTCACAGAGCTGCCATTAAGCACTACGCAGCCGCTAACTTATCACTTATCACAGGCGACAGCACAGCAGGCTGAAGCAACTATGCTGCCAAGTGGCGCATGGCTGTCGCAAGCGGCGTCGCAGGTGAAACGTCATCACGTTGTTCTGCGTGCAATGGCCTGTAGGGGGCAGTAGTTCTCCTGAGCTGATGCTGGGAACAGAATGTACAGGAAATAATTAACTTCTCCATATTCACAAGAAGATTTGGGACCAAGTCATTGTTTTACAAGTCACAGTTAAGTCTCAAGTCTTTGCACACAAGTCCCAAGTTAAGTCTCAAGTCCTGAACATTGAATTTCGAGTCCTAAACAAGTCATAATGTCCTCCTCTCTAAATGTAATGATAGGTTAACAACAGAGCAGTAATATATTACATTTTAAAGAATTAATTATTTTCAAAATGTGTATTTTTGAGATGCAAGTCTTTTTTTTTTTTTAGTTTTGTCAATTCTGAAATCATGAAATTTGTGACTGGAGTCCACACCTCTCTTAACAAGTAGCCTATAAGCATGATCTGAATGATACAAAATTAAATATTTAATAAGGGAATCATTTTTGCATTACAGAGAGGGGATACATTATGTGCAGGGGCGTAAATACAGACAGTGCAGGCAGGGTGATTGCTCTGGGGCCCATGGAGTGAGGGGGCCCATAGAGAGAGTGGGCTCTCTAACTATAAGTTAGGCAGAAAACAGGTCCTTGTGAGTAATTTAGATTGCTACCTCAGAAATATGCCTGTGTTCAAAGAAAAACTCAATTTGCCATTTGCTATATATGCCTATTGAAAAGGTAGTAGCATTTATCACAAAATATGTTATAAAATATATGCTCACTCTACACAAACTATAAAACTATATTATTCGATTAATAATCCCTTATTTCTTCTTAGAATTTTTTTTCCATATATAAATATATGCGATGATGATTTCTGGGTAATATGTATGTTGGTGTTATCCAATCTCAAGTCTCTATTTGATCATGTGTTGATAAGATTTTATAGTAGCGAGTTAAGGCATATAACAAGTAACTAGTGTGCCTTAGGACCCGTCATAATAGCGTGCACTGGGGCCGGTTGTAACTACCTTATGCCTCTGAAGGAATAAACTTCTCCATATTTACAAAGGGTGTTAGGCATGGTCTGAAGTATTCACAAAATGGCAGATCAATGTCTGTGCATTATAGAGGGAGGAGGATACATTGGTGGCAGGCTGAAAATGCAGTCTGATCTGGCATGGTCTGTCATGGTCAGTCTTGGATTCAAGATGAAATGGTTTAAAGATAGTTTACCTTTAGAATAGTCTAAGGGTTGTGAAATGACCTCGTCACATCATATTTTTATTTTGATATTGTGCAATGCATTCTCAGTGAAGTTTTTCAATGACTGTATTGTTTGTGGCCTCATCAAGCTTTTCCATAACAACAATGAACAGCACTCTATCATTTTGACATACTTGACTTGACTTCTCTAAATCATAGTTTGCACTGTTTTTTTTTTATTTAAATAGGTTGTCATACATTGTCAGATTTCTAAATTATATGTGAAATATTGTGTTAATGTCTCTAATATAAAGAAATATTCAGTAAGTTTGTCTGACACACTGCATTGTATTATCCAGGAGATAAACAGTTTGCAACCGCCACACATACTGTATTCAGTGTAATAAACTAAGTATTTTTTTTACTTTAAGAAGTTTTCTTTCATTGAGCCTAAACTGTCTGTTTCTTTCTTGATTTCAGAGCACAGATGCAAACAGGTGGTGACAGCTTCCTGTGTGGGTGAGGAGTGTCCTAAATCCATCAGCAGAAGAAGCAAATGGTAACGGTGTCCTCTGTGCTGGTCGGGCCAGGGCTGGTCCTCATCCTTTTGGCTGGTGGGGGAAGAGGGTGGTGTGGAGGTTGTCCTGGGATGATTGGTTGATATCCACTCTCAGCTGCCCAGGAGTGCCAACAACACAGAAGAGGCCTGACCTATGAAACAGAAGAACAAGTAATGTGTAATGATAGACACAGTTGTACAGCCTTTGCTTTGTTGGTAGCTGAATTTGGCCTCTAATAATGAAATGATAATATAAAAATGGAACAGTATTCAATAGGGTTCCTATAAGTGAAGTTAACATCAGTTTATCAACAAGTAATGTAACCACTGGTATTTTGGTAGTCTTGAGAGATTTACTTACTGAGCCCACCCAAAGAAAGGCAACCACCACTTTCCAGCTGCTCCTGTCGTCATCCATCCTTATCTGGTCCAGAATAAACACACCGTCTTTGTCATCAACTCCGAAAAATAGATAAATAAATAAATCAAAATACAACAGAGTGAGTAAGATACATAATCACAAAATGTTTAAAAAGGGATAACAGGATTCGCTGGGGACTTTATGACCTCACCTACACCTGACTAAAGACATGGACACAAACAATCTTTGAATTACTGGTATGTGATATTAGGACTTTCAGGAAACTCCTGTCAAAGCTGTTATTAAGTACTGACTTGTCTTTGTCTGGTATGGCCATCTATGATTATAAAAAAAACCACAATACTGTAACAGTAAGTATAATCTCTGTTAAATAAGTGAATTTGAAATTTTCAGTGCTCATAGACAAGATTTCAGAGTGAACTGTCCCTTTATAGCTCCAAGTCCTACTTAGCTTTTCTCCCACCTTATGTCATGGGCAATAGGTAATGTGGTGGAGCATTTCCTCCATCTATTTCCAGGGTAGTTTGTTTTGTTAAATTTCAAGTAGCTCATCCAGGCTACATGGGATACTGTAAATGACCTCCTTGCCAGACACGAAAGCTACCCGGGGCTTTATCAGTCCTACCAGATACAAAGGTTTTACAGTTTTTCTATGCTGCAATCCTAATTAGAATCACTCTAATCAGCCCCCCTTTGGTACTCAAAAGGTCTTGACCAGTATCTTCTGTTTGTCGAGGAGTCCTGAAGTCGAGGGTGCTGACTCTGTGTAGCAATTATGCTTTAAGAATGGATTTATAACTGGGATATTTTTTAATCAAACCCTTTAATTTCCATAAAGGGACACTGTAGTGACTTAGCCTGCTTCCATAAAATTACAGGACTCACAAGAGAAAGACTTCAGAAGAATGCTCAAAATTGATGCAACAGAGGCTGAGATATCCTGACCTTTAACATCCCAAAACACTGGATCCTGGACCTCCCACAGTGGACTCTACCAAGCTAATGCCACGTCTTTTAAACTCCACACCTCCACTTTGTAATGCAGCTCTCTGTTGTGACTTTAAACACCTTTCAAGCCCCTCTTGGCTGGTAAACTGACCTTAATGGAGTTCCCCCATAATATGGTGTAAGAGTAAGCGCTGTCTGTCACTGTTGCTTGGCAGAAAAGCCTGACCATGAATCACATATCCTTTGTTCATGTATCAAAACAATATTAATCCGATCTATGAAAATCATCTCTGGCATGCAAATAACTACGAGATGCTTCGGCTGCATCCAGCTCCTATCTGTGGAGATAGAGAGGTAACACAGCTAAATATAGGAGACTGTATCTGGTGGGGCAGCCTGCAGCAGAGGAACGCTCTCACATACCTCCAGCTTAACACAACCTCACACCATGCTGCTCTTTCACATCTGAGTCACTCTTCTTCACCTGAAGACCTGAATCAATAAATTGCTTTTATTATTACAAATACATGAATGGTGCTCCCTGAGATCTGACCATATATGATGTCTTCCCTGGGAATTATGTCATATCAACAAATAATCTGTCAAATGTGTGTATCATTCCCGCATAGATGAGTGTATTACCACATAAGGCACACTGTACATCAAGAATAATATATGGAAAAGTGGGTGGCACAAATATGGACCTCCTCTTTGCAGGCCTGCGGCTTGGGAACCTCAGTGGCCGCTCATTAATGACTCAGTTGCTCACCATAAAAGGAGACAGCTGGGCCAATCAGCAAGGAGCACCGACACCGACAGGCCACTCAGACAGCCAGATCCCACACAGAGCCCGGCTGGCGTTACCATCAGCTGTTCCACGCTGTTGAGGAGGCTCAGAGCACATACCAGCAGCGTGGTTCACAGACATATGCAATGTTTTCATCTCCTTAACAAGACAGGAGTGGCGCTGCTCTGACTGGGTCATCAAAGTGAGCCCTATGAGTATAGAAAAAAGCTCCTGAGAGATATGACATATGAGCATCAGAACAACAGGAAATACAGTATTTTAAAACTCTGATTGCATTGCATTCACCTTGTCTGATTATTGACTGCAGGGCTATAAAGAAATTATCCTGCATAACATGCAAACATGCATTGTTTTAATGTATTAACTTATAGGTCTATGAGGCAAACTTTCATCTTAGAAATGCAGATTACTTTTATGTTAATGTCAGCAATTAAATTGTCATCTTAAATCCACTAATAATCCATTAACTTCAACACTTTTATTCTCCACCAACATTTCATTAAAACTGTGTCATCCAAGTGACTTCACTGTAGAGAAGCCCCATCCATGTATGTAAAACACCTCTCTGGCTTGTTGATTTTTTTGCTGCCAGCTCTTATTTGGACTTGTGTGAACCCCCTGGCCCCGCCCCTGGTCCCCAGACCCGGTCTGGGTCTTATTTAAGGCGCTCTTCTCACCCTCAGCCTCTGTCCCAGTGGAAGCATCCGCCCTACCAGTGCACCTTGGTGAGTACATTTCACAACTTGTCTCTCTGGTTTGCTCTGGATATCTGTCTTTTGTGTGATGAGTTTCACAAAGTCCATTGGTTGTGCTTTGAGCTGATGAGGCTTCAATGAATGAATGAATGATGTGTCTTTAGGTTACTAATGGTTTTCACGTGTTGTAATAATGACTAACTGAACATGATGATTATAAGTAAAACTGGAGTTACTGGTTACGCTAGGTTGGCTGCCATGATGTTGAAATTAACATATTATATGATGTTATTTTATGTGATAAATACACTCTGTGCTATGAACAATTTCTGTTGAAACTCTCAAACATATCCTGTGGAAGTATTACTTGGATCAGTGGGGGAGCAGTTGGCCAGATTCACCCATGTGCC